ATCTTTGAATTTGTCATTATTCTACATTTAAGATTCATACATAGTTATCTTATGACTTTTCCAGTAGATTACAACAAGTTCACAATTCCAAGTAAAGTACGGAACTAATTTATACGATTAGTATATACAGACGAGCAAATATACGCTTAAACCTTCTAAGTAAAGTGCGGAACTAATTTACGATAAGGATATACAGAAGAGCAAATATTATTATATACATACCGAGATTTACGCGCCAAAAAGCATCGAGATAAAAACAGTGTCTTCGCGCTAGAGAAGCCAGCCGATTGGTCATACGATTTTTTTCACTAGTGAAAAACGACGTATCGACGCTCTGATTGGCTATATCATTATTTTCATTAGTGAACAAAACCGTGTCGCCCGCTCGCCGCTCCTCTTGACTGACAAATGGCACATTTCTAANGAATTAACAGCCGACAATTGCTTGAAGTGAGAGGGAAATTCTAAAATACTGTGTTAAAATTGGATCTCTTGTATGTTTCTGTTCAATCTATGAGGTATCTTGAAGATTTTAAGGTCTAAAACCTCTAAAAGTGTGTAAAATGTGGTCAGCATTGCATCCTTAAAATAAATAAAAATTCAAAATGATGAACGCATCAGCTTTCAGTTGTCATTATTAGAGGAGCGGTTGTCAAAAAAGCTCTATCAGCCAGAATACTCCTTGAAATACGTTGTCACCATATCGAGAGCCACCGGTAACGAGGGAATAAACTATCCTGAAAGTAATTTGTATTTTCAGTTTATTCCCACGCTTTTCCATATTTCATATTTCATATATATCTAGCTTTACTTTCTAATATACCTGTTTGCAAATGAACAGTGAAGTTATTAGCTAACAGAACGGTTAATGGCTTTTTGTTTGTTTTGGCTAGGTCTGGCTGGATCATGTCAGATGTCTCCTTTGGCAAAGACACTAAACGGAAAACAGAAATGGTTTTTCCATTCTCCACTTTAAATTTTTTTTTCTATTTATTCATTTGATCATCAATAAAGTGGTAAAAGGTATTATGTATAAACTGCATACTCCGAGCACAATAAAGTATTAATTAAGAAACATCTGGTTCGTTCAATCAGTTTTCTCGTTAAAACACTCTTAACATATGCAAACAAATTAAACCTATATTGCTAAAAGCAATAAGGGTTGTTTATTTTTAACTAAAAACTGAGGTAAAACAACGGGAAAAATGTCAGTAGTGAGTTGTAGTTTTAAAAACGTGCTGAAAGTGAGGTTTTCATACACACTGACTTGTATCATCTCAGTGATAAGAAATTTTGTTCTGAAAAAATAAGATAAATAGATAGACATATACAGAAATTGAAACCTACTCAGAAATACTTGTATAGATGTTTACACATCTGCTAATCATAACGTTAAAATATCCAGATATGCTAAAAAGCCTAGCATCTACGTATCCATGACGATTTCAACGAATGCATGTTATTTTCTGAATTACGGAGAAAATCTTTATTCAGGCTGGTAAACGTGAAATTTAAGACAAAACCTACACGCTTATTAAATGTGCAGATAAATCCTGGTCGTCCTGCACTATGATTGGCTACCCGAGCGAGCAAGATGGAGCTCTCTTACCCGCTTGGGACTACCCGCCGTGTCCCGCAAGAAAAATTTGCCCGAAAGCCATATAATAAATCCTTTATTGACCAAGGTTGTTCGGTCAAGATGGCTGGATATTGGCCTCGTTCTTTTTTTTGCGAGCTTATGGACCTCGACTCCGTCTCGGTCCATAACCTCGCAAAAAAAGAACTTGACCAATATCCAGCCATCTTGACCTCACACTTGGTCAATAACTCATACATTTCTCACCTCCTTTCATTTCCCTCAGGATGGTGCAATACACATTCGAAAAGTGCGCAGAGTTGGCAAAGTTGTGTGATCAATCAAGAAGCGTTACGACCAATATACTGATGTGTAAATAGGTCGCAGCTGTACGCCAACCAGCACTTATTTCTCTTTCGATTTAGATAAAAGTCGAAGATTAATCCTATAGAATGACATGATAACAAACTGTTAGACTCACAAAGTTTTTCGAAGTTTTGGAAATCAGCAGTGCGACAAACAATCTGTGCGTCGAATTAACAAATTGACGTCAGTTTCTTATGCGTGTGTCCTCTTATTGATGATAAATTGTGGCATAACATTGTCAAAGTGGCCGTGGAACCACAAGCCGCAGGCGAGTGGTTCCGCGATAAACTTTGACAATGTTATGACGAAATTTATCATCAATAAGAGGACAGACGCATAAAAACTAATGTCAATGTGTGTTTTACAATAACAAGACTCCAAACTGGTCAAATGCCGGGAATAAATGAGGGGAAAAGACGCGTAAACTTGCCGTAAACAAAGATAAGTAAATTTTATTCAAAATGACGCAAACATTGTCAATAGCTTTTCTCGCTTTTTGATTGGCTACTTAAATAAGTCCATAAAATCTCATTGGTTAAAAAGTTGACAGGTTGACAGCTGAAATTTGAACCTGAAAGCTTGCATAAATTAAAATTTTATCCGTCTGTACTCTTATTGATGATAAAAGTGAGCCAATCAGCACGCGAGAAATTAGACAGTTATTGTAAAAAATATGACGGCGTAACATTATCTGCGGACCGCTTAGGGATCACATCCTTTTCGCTTATCCCACGAATTTCACTGCAAACTTTGAGAAAAATTTACATTGGTTATTTGGAGTTACGACTTGAACGTGTGACAATGTGAAATCGGTAACTGTATGAAATGTTTCCTTCTGCCTTGCTTCCCGCAGCTTCAAAAATACAGGTGCAAACAATTCTACGATTTTCACTGTTTTTAATCTATCGAAGCCAGTGTTTTGGAGGTCACCAAGTCTCGAAAACTTCAAAACTTACGTCGCTCTTATAAACATAAAGCATTCCAGAAAGTAAAACACAAACTGGATTTAATAGAACAACCATACCTTGACAAAATACATTCTCGCTCAGGACAAATGTAAACGGGCTATAAACGCGGCTGGGAATCTTGTGTTTAGTTGACGAAATTACCATCCAAAGGAGTCCTTGAGTTTTCTTTCCTGCTTTTCGTTTGCCTGCTCCTCCACCTCGTATTTAGCTTTCCACTCCTAAGATACAAGCAGCTCGTCCGCAAAGAAGTCTTCCCCGTCGTCGCTTGAAATATAGCAAATTGCTCTCAAAGCTCTAAGCAGTGCTGAGTTCGCAGTTGTCGAACGTGCTCGATCGAAGTTTATTTCGGAGTCTTCCYAATCGAAACTTCTGACTCTAATGACGAAAAAGAAATGATTCTGAAACAAAACTTGGACGTTTTAGTCCCAAAATATATTGGAACGATTAGTTTTGTTTTCCATTTTCTCGAGCAAATACAGAGAGCTGACTGAGGCGCCATTGTATTTGATTCCTGGATCGCGGTCGCGCAACACTTAAAGCGCGACTTTGAAAGGGCATAAAAAATCGATGGTTCAACCAAATTCAAAACTTTTTTCACCCAAAATGCTTTGAATAACAAGTGGATTCGTTTTAGCGAAAATAAATTTCTGGGGTTAGGAGCACTTTAGCAAAAGCCGACATGGCAATTTTCTGCGATCTTCGTCTAAAAATGACGACAAAAAAATGACTGATAGTATTGCATGGTACAGATCGGAGCAACCGTTTTACGTACAAATAAAACATACCTATATAACGTTCGGCAAACGTGTTCAAAGTTATTACCGGTTTAATTTTCGGTCAAAGATCATTTGGCAAGAAATTAAAAAATAAGAATGCAGAAAAGAGGTATATGGCAACGAACCTTTCAGCAAAATAATTTCCGAGTGGTTACTCATACGATTGTCTGAAATTGTAGCGACCAGAAAGGATCGAGATGTTCTCTTGCACACATCCGATCCAGCTCTTATGTTTAATTGTAGTTGAACAAGTATTTCTTTTTCTTTTTATTGCAACTGTATTGCAGCTCCCTTTTAGGACGGTTGCCTTCAAAAAACCACACCGGCCTAAAAGAGATGCTGCGGCCTACATACGGTCTACAGCTGATGCTGCGCACGTAATTCCCGTGTGGCTTCTCATAAGATTGGTTAAAATTGCGCCGAACAAACAGGAGATGTTTTCTTACACACAACCGATCAATCAACTGAACAGAGCTCTTGTATTTTATTATAGTTAAACAGAGACCGTATTACAACTCCCGCCCCGTTTAGGACGGCTGTGTAACAAAGGTTTTCCGTGCGGAACTGCGCGGTTAGGGACGGATATGGGCTATCAGCGTGGGTGCTATGGAATACAGGGATAACGGCGGACGGACTTGTCTTGGGGAAAGCTCAGAAGAGCACAGGCTAGCTACACGGCACCTCATTACTCAATGCCAAAGGTACAGGGTCCTTGTCACTCATCAGCCGGACAGTAAATCATTAAGGACTCTCACAGATCTAGAACTCTCTTGTCTTCTTTATTGTTGATTGAATCTCGTAGTACATAGGTCGAAGGTAACTCAAATATTGTACAGTGCGTGCCTGCTTATATATGATCACGGTGCGATAATAATGGCAGGTGAACTTTAAGATTTACAGCAAAATAGACAAGTCTTATCAATACCAACATCCGTACAGGAAATTGCTAAACGTTAAGATCTCCGTTCAAGATACGGTAAAGGAAATTGCTCAAGATATAGGTAAATAACGGTGTTAACTGTCGATTAATTGGAAATCAGCTACTTCGCATCTGAAAACAGGTAATATGAATAAATTATCGATATTAAACGAAATACTGGCCAATAAGTGATCTTAAGGCTTAAAGAACAGTTCCTTTCATCTTTGAATTTGTCATTATTCTACATTTAAGATTCATACGTAGTTATCTTATGACATTTCCTGTAGATTGCAATAAGTTAACAATTCCAAGTAAAGTGCGCAACTAATTTACGATAAGGATATACAGAGGAGCAAATATACGCATAAGCCTATTTATAGCTTTGGGGCGGGGGGGGCACTTCTCTTCAGTGACAGCTGCCTTCAAACCACGGCGGGCTGTTATCAATCAATCAAGTCAAATATCTTATCTACAATTCCAGTTACCTTTCTGCTAAATAGGAACTGCTTATATTCAAAAACAATTCTAGCTAAGTGTAATTTTCTAGTTTAAAACAGTTATTCTCCTGTAAAGGTTTGATTGTGTTTCCGTTTTTTTACGACGGCAAAGCATGAAAAACATCTCCTAATCTCATTTTTTATGTCCCTCTTGAATAAAGCGTAAGCTAAAGGGTTGACGGCAGAGTTTAAAACCAGAATAGGTATTTTATATTCCACATCATTACATCTTGTGCGGTTTTTTAAAAGCACTAAAAAGCTACAACGTAAAAATACTCCATAACACAGGAGAAAAAGGCCAATAACAATCGCCATCAATATAATTGCAGACTTCTCCTGATTTTTAATGAAAACGTGATGATTAAAACGTAATTGTTTTGTTAACGAGCGGGCAGCTCTATCGTGCTTGCAAACAACATACAACATGGATGCAAAGCAAAAGATTAAAATAAAACATGGAAGAAACTGTAGAAATATCACAACTGTCCAGACGACGATGTGATCAAAGATTATTTCTTTGTAAAAAAGAAAATTCATTGCATATAGGAAGATTATAACAACAGAAATTGTCCAAGATAAGGAAATCATTTGAACCACGCGGTGGCGCTTCATAAAAGACAAGTATTTTAAGGGTTTCACAACTGCAATGTAGCGATCCAGTACTAAACTGCACAAGTTCGTCATAGAAGCATGCTCAAACAGCCATCTTAACATGTGAACCCAAGCTGACCAACCTTCAGAGCTGCAGCCAGTTGCCATCTCGCAGAAGAAAAGTGAAGGAACAACGCTCATCCCGACGAAAAAATCTGCCACTGCGAGTGAAAAGACAAATGCGTTGGTTTTGGTGCGAAGGTGTCGTTTGCTGCCCACAAGGAAGATGATAAATCCATTTCCAAATATCGTCAGGACACAAAGAGACCAGCCAAGAATCCAAAACCAGGCTTCCATGTTTTTTTTCAATCTATGCGACTGACAAAAACACTTCATCAGAACACACTTTATCCGTTGCCACGATGTCGAGTGCGACCGATAACAAGAGAATAAACTGTCCTGGCAGTAATATTTGTATTGCCTGTTTATTCTCACGGTATTCCCAAGAGAAACATGCGCATACCATGATCCTCAGTGAAAGCTAAATGAAATTCAGGTTCCGCTCTTCGATAATATTCATATCTAGCTTATTTCCTAATATACCTGTTTGTAGATTTTAAACAGTAGAGTTATTGAATAACGGGACGGTTAATGGCTTTTTGTTTGTTTTGGCTAGGTCTGGCTAGATCATATTAGATGTCTCCTTTGGCAAAGACACTAAACGGAAAACAGAAACGGTTTTTCCATTCTCCACTTTAATATGTTTTTTTCTATTTATTCACTTGATCATCAATAAAGTGGTAAAAGTTATATGCATAAATCGCACATTCCGAACACCACAGTGTATTAGAAAACAATCTGGTTCGTTCTGTCAGCTTTCGTGTTAAAACACTTTTAACATATACAAAAAAATTAATTCCGTATTGCTAAAAGCAAAAACGGAAGTTTATGTTAAACTAAAAACTGAACGAAAACAACACAACAAAAGTCAGTAATGAGGTGTTTTAAAAAAGATACTAAACCTGAGACTTGTAACATCTCAGTGGTGAGAATTTTTATTTAAAAAAAACCGATTCAAGAAAGCGACAAAAAAAAAAAAACAAAAACAAAAATAAAAACTAAAATAAAATAGATAGACGTGAACCTAAATTGAAAACTACTCATAAATATTTGTATATATTGACGAGTCTGCTTATCTTAGCGTTAAAATATCCAGATAGGCTAAAAAGCCTAGCGCCTACGCGTACACGACGATTTCAACACCACTGTTTAAATGACATGTTTCATGGCTGTTAATAAATTCGACTAGACAAAGATTAAGAATAAAGTTAACTTAGCTAACATTACATATTAGGAAGTGGGATTTATGGAACTTTAACCACAGTAGACAGAAACAAAAATAATATATCAGGCGTGTTTATCTCACTGGACCCACACTGGCGGAAATAACCTGCCCAAAACGTCTGTTTCATTTTCCCCGCAGACTAAAGAAAATAAATAATCGTTCAGCGTATATAGGGAATTTACTCTGTGATCGAAAACTTTCAGTAGCCGTGAATCCGTCCTTCACAGGGATTTTCATGGGCCAATGTTTTCTCCGAGTCTTTTACAGTGCCACAACAGCCTAAATTTGACTTGCAGATCAAACGAAATACCTTTTTTTTAAAAATTTTTCTCGAGCAGCATTGCAGAATTGCTTCATTTCCCATGCCGATGTCATTTTGAATCGTTCGATCAACGTATGTCATCAGGTATTTTCTGATTTCCGGAAAATATTGTAGAATTCAGGTTGGTTGATTTAAGATGCCAGTAGTGTCGCCAAATGACGTCATGGCAAAAAAAGCAAAGATCTTATCTTGCAGAGTAAGCTGAGAGCATAATAATGTTGAGGCTAATGGTATAATACAGTTGAACCCAGCAATTTTCTACTTTCAAGGGAAGCGAAAAGTAGCTCGAACTAGCGAGAGTTTGAAATAGCCTATAGATATTAAAAGTCGTCTTAATTTGTCCGTCGATTTCACCGCCAGTTAAGACGATTTTTCGAGGTGGATTTCGCCTAGATGAACGAGTCCAAAACAAATGGTAGCATCTCGGTTACTGTGCGGGAGCTTCATCATCATCATCATCATCATCATCATCATCATTGTACTCTCCACTTCCCTGCAAGGGGAATGGAACTAGCAAATGGAGTGATGGTTTGGTGAAAATCAAAATGGCGGGTGGAAAGGTAACCAAGCCTGTTAGTGCCAGGCCATTGACTTCCAAAATCCTCTGTTTATCCGTCCAGATATGAATTTGCGATGACCAGCGGAAGCTGATTCGTTCGTCTAGAATTCACAATAGACGAACAAAACGTGGGACGACTTGTCCGTCTTCTGGTGTGAAAATGACATTGAAAACGATGTTATTAAACTACGAAACTAATCATTGAGGAAAGAAGACAATGCAGAAGCCGTTCTCAAACAAACTCGGTCCGGAAACAATGAAGACACAAACCCAAAGAAGTGCAGCTGGCAGTTAACTCTAATAACTAGAAACAATCGTCAATGACAATTTGAAATTCACACCGTTTGCCATAAATTAAACGTCATTTTTAACTTCCATATATACCAATAGAGAAAAATGGATGATAAACAATGGAGAACTATAGTCAAAAGAACTTAGATATCTGAGAAACTTGAAAAATCTTGAAACTAAATTCAGTCCTAAGTAATCAGCTGAATTAATTCACGTTCAACACGAAATTTAAGAATATTGGTATAAAAACACAAAACCTACACGTTTATTAAATATGCAAATAATTCAGGTAGTCAGCGCAGCTGGCCGCAGTTGAAACTATAAACTAGCTTTAAACCAAGCAAGTGTTTTACTTTGAATTTTAACAAAATCCGACATTGCAATTTCCCGCGATCTTCGTCTAAAGGAATAAAGATAAAAAATAACTACGAACATACCTATATAGACTACGAGTAGTCCCTCTTTCGCTTAGCCCATCGTGCGTGACGCGAGAGCAAACCGCGAGAAATTAAAAAATGGCCGCGCGAACGCCGCCATTTTCCCCTCGCGGTTTATTTACGGTCTCGCTCGACGGACTAAGCGAAAGAGGGATTACTCGTAGTCTAACCTATATAAACGTACGGCAAACTTGTTACTACCGGTTTAATTTTCGGTCAAAAATCGTTTGGCAACAAATTACAAAACGAACGCAGAGAAAAAAAATTCATGGCGACGAACCTTCCAGCAGAAGACCCTTAAAACATATTGCGCACCTAATTTCGGAATAGTTAGTTATAAGATTGGTTGACTTACAATTGCAGCGAACAAACAGGAGATGTTCTCTTGCACACAACCGCTCAACCAACTGAGCAAAGCTCTTCTTTGAAATCGTGATTGAACAAGCATTTATTTCCACTTTTATTGAGACTGTAATGCTCTCAAAGAACCACACCGACCTATAATAAACACGCAATCAAATCGAATATTTTATCTACAATTCCTGTCCCATTTCTGGTAAATAACAACTGCTCATTCAAAAAGCTTGTCTTGCTAAGTCTGTCTTTCTAGATTAAAGCAATTTTCCTGATCTAGAGGTTCGATTCTGTTTCTGGTTTCTACGACGGCAAAGCATGGAAAACGTTTTTTAATCTCATTTTTTATGTCCCTCTTGAATAAAGCGTAAGCTAAAGGGTTGACGGCAGAGTTTAAAACCAGAATAGGTATTTTATATTCCACATCATTACATCTTGTGCGGTTTTTTAAAAGCACTAAAAAGCTACAACGTAAAAATACTCCATAACACAGGAGAAAAAGGCCAATAACAATCGCCATCAATATAATTGCAGACTTCTCCTGATTTTTAATGAAAACGTGATGATTAAAACGTAATTGTTTTGTTAACGAGCGGGCAGCTCTATCGTGCTTGCAAACAACATACAACATGGATGCAAAGCAAAAGATTAAAATAAAACATGGAAGAAACTGTAGAAATATCACAACTGTCCAGACGACGATGTGATCAAAGATTATTTCTTTGTAAAAAAGAAAATTCATTGCATATAGGAAGATTATAACAACAGAAATTGTCCAAGATAAGGAAATCATTTGAACCACGCGGTGGCGCTTCATAAAAGACAAGTATTTTAAGGGTTTCACAACTGCAATGTAGCGATCCAGTACTAAACTGCACAAGTTCGTCATAGAAGCATGCTCAAACAGCCATCTTAACATGTGAACCCAAGCTGACCAACCTTCAGAGCTGCAGCCAGTTGCCATCTCGCAGAAGAAAAGTGAAGGAACAACGCTCATCCCGACGAAAAAATCTGCCACTGCGAGTGAAAAGACAAATGCGTTGGTTTTGGTGCGAAGGTGTCGTTTGCTGC